TTCTGAGCCTCTGTTTCTTCACTTGTGAAATACACACAACCTCAAAGACCTATGTCATTTCAATTGTTCTTTTGCCTCTTAGTTCCCAATCTGAGAGAGCAAACGAAATAGCTAGTCATTTCTTAGAAGGGACATCCTAGGAAGTGGTATTTCAAAACAGTGGGGAAGGCAAGTAGTGAATTCACATTCCAGTCTGCAAGGAACAGCTTGCCAAGGGTAATTTACCTTAAGATAACTGCATAGGGAAATGTCCTTAAGTACTTTCTGGTTGGCTGAAGAAACTTCCACATTCAATAAAGTCTACTATGGGGTGTAGCTCTGCTTGGAATGAACAGATGCATAAATATTCCAAATGTTCATAGAGTTTAACTATTCTTTAGTCTCACTGGTAATGGCATATGTGTGTGCAGGGCAGTGGATGGTTGTATACTACAAATTTACTCATTTTACCAGCCTTAGTGATGCCCTTGGCAAGGGATAGAAAAGGGGAAGTTTTAATTTCAATTATTGTCTACATGCCCAACATTTTTAAATGCAAGCCTGTCTACTAGGATGTTTTGATGTCACTTAAACTCAGCATGTCCTGAACCAAACTCCTTTGCTTTCTTCCTACACTTACTTCTCCCTCTGTGTTCAAGTCACAGTCAAGGGCACCACTGACCAATCAATTGCACAAGGTAGAACTCAAGGGATCATCCTTGACAAGTTGCTCTCCTTCAGCCCCTGCATCCCATCCATCAGTTCCTTCCATTTAACCCCCTAAATGTTTCTCGAATCTGTCCAGCCCTCCTCATGTCTGCAGACCCCACTGTTGCACCCCCACCCTCACATCTCGCTTGGATTATTCTGATATCCTGGAACCCTGCTCTGGTTCATTCTCCATAGTGCTTCCAGAGTGACCTTTTCAATGCTAAGACTTATCTGATGAAAAAAAAAATCGTTTAGAAACTTCTTATTATTCTAAGGATAAGGAAGACAAGGCCCTGCATGGTTTGGCCTCTTCCAAACTCGTCTAATTCATCTTGTACAATTACCTCCCCTTGTCCCAATTCAGTGTCCCAGACATAATGGGTTCAAATTAACTCCTCAGTCCAACCTTGCTTCCTTTTACTTCAGAGCCTCAATCCATGGTTGCTTCCCAGGCATATTGCTGTATTCTCTTCCATGCTTTTGCTTGGTTAATTTCCACTATGTTGCAGCTCCAATGCCACCTCTTTGGAGAAGCCTTTCTTGAGCCCCCAGATTGGACTAAATGTTCCTCTCGTAGCTTCTTAAGAATTTTCTTCATAAGACCTATTACAGTTAATATTGTGCATGGCTACTCAGTGGTTCCTTCATCAGTCAAGCCTAAGGTCAAAGTCTGAGGCTGTTCTTGCTCATTGTCACATCATCTAAAGTAATGCCTGGTTTACAGTCAATACCTGTTGAATGAATTTAAAGAAGTTCAGGTAAATCTGTTAATTCATTAGATATTTAGAGTGAAAATATTTGTTTACATAGATAATACTGAATTACAAGAAAGTAGTTTGCTAATTACTTCCAGCATGTATAAAAGCTTGTCCCTATTAGTACATTTTTAATCTTTCCAGTAAATGGACCTACCTTCCACTTCAAAAAAGGAGACTTTTCCCAAAATAGTCAAGTCAACAACAACATTTGAACATAGCCACAAGGGTTCCATAACCTTGATTTTTTTCCTTTAATATTAATATATAAACTATAAAATACTTTTATTTTACCCATAATCATACCTCTGCAGTCTTTCACTGTCAATGAAGGGTGAAGGTATTTACAAACCATGTCATGTTGGAAAGTGGATAAAGGAACTGGAGGCAAGAGGATTTATAAAAGGTATGGGGTAGGTTTCACAAGTTTATAATGCTCTGGGATAGAGGAGGCAGAGTTTTGTTTGGCTGAAAGGCAAAACTAGGACAAATGTGTGGAAATTATACAAATCTAGATTTTAAATCAATTAACAAAGAGCTTTTTAACATCATGCAATGTGTGCTTAGCAATGAAATAGGCCATTTCCTGAGTTAAGGAACACTTTGCCAGATCAGAGACGCTGTAAAAGAGATTCATTCCTACATTGGTCTCTGGGCTGCCTGCATCAAGTCCCCTCCTGGCTTGGGTTTGCAGAAGGAAATAGCCATCTAGGGCTCTATTTGATACCTAAAAGGTTGTCCAGCTATATATCCAAATTTGTTAGAAGGACTCTGCTTAACTGATAAATTCAGTTTTGATATGGATTGAATCTACATGTGTAGAAATAGCTAACTCTTGAATGTATTTTTTTGAAAAACTGATTGAAGAGCTTACATGTTAAAAAAAAATAAAAAAAAGAAACTTTTTCCAGTTTAATTTAAGCAATATTATTGTACAGTAATATGCATGACATTTTCAAGCAACTGGCTATTTATGATTAATTGCTAATATTTCAGATAGGCACTGTATTTCCTATCTACTTATTTTGCCAACATTTGATTATGGTAAGGCAATTTATAGACATGTTAGCTTGCTGTTTTTAATGAACTGGATGTGCTCTCTAATGGAATTGCTAAATTGGTGTTAAATTGTAGCTTAGAGACTTATTATTGTGAGATTCTATCATTTTTTCATTGGTTTTATTCATCATAGAGAAGAGACTTGAATTGGCTTCAGGTAGAATAGTGAATAATAATTGTTAGTTTTGATAGGAATAACCCTGTATCACTGACTTAGTTTAACTTTTATCAGATATTCAGTCTATGGAGAATATAAAGAATCCTTTACTCTTTATTTTTATTATCAAGTCTAAATTATCCTTATATTTTGAATTATATTTATAGCCCTTGTCACAAATGCCTTATCTTTTAGTTGCAGAACTTAGTTTCAAAGTCAACGTGAATAATATCTATCACATTTAAAAATTTCATTACATCATGTAAGCCTCTGAGCCCTCAACTATTTGCTTGGTGAGAAATTCAACCTCAGTTGAGTTTGGCATATTCTACCTTACTTCAGTGGCATAGAAGGGATCTTTATGAAGTCTACCCAGAGATAAAAGGAGGAATTTCTTCCACAGTGTACTTGTGTTGGAAAGATATTCCTTAACTCAGAAAACTTACCATATCATTGGGATAATTGAGAATTTAGGGTGATTTGCACTACAGAAAATCAGGAAGTAGCCAGGTCTTTAGATCATGGTTGAGGCATTCTCACCACCAGCTCTCTTTATTACCTGTGGATCCACTGCTATTAACATGGATCCCTCATCATCCATTGTTTGTACTATTTGGAGCAGACCTAAGGAAACTCCTGAAGAGTTCCAGTTTCTAATCACATACTCATTTCAGGAGCCTTCAGTCATTACTATTAAGACCTTTATGCTTACTGAAGAGACTTATTAGAGACCATAGAGGGGATTCTCCAGTTACAGAAACTATTCAAATATGGTTCTGTTTTTTGTTTCTTTCATGCTTGGGGACCCTTAATGCATATACCTCTTCCCACATCTTTTGACTCCTTTTCCTCAAAGCTTTTGCGTCCACCCATCCACCTTTGAGATGATTCAGCCCAATTCTTCCCTGAACAGACATGAACTTAGAAAGCTATTTATTACCCCCAAGAAGAGGAGGATTAAGGATAGCATAAATAGTGCCCTCTTTTCCCCCGTATGGCTAGGGAACAGCTATTTTTAAAATAACTTTCTTTTCACAGCTTTTATGTATGTTTCAATAATTCATCCTGTTACATTTTTGTTTATGTTTCCATGCTGCATGTGCTCATTCATACATGCAAATCAACCATTATGTCAGGCCCAGTGCTGTACTTACTTCATGCTTTTACTAGATTTTAAACTTCTTAAAAACAAAGGTCACATCTAATACGTCAAATTATCTGTCCCCAAAGCCAGGATAGGGTCTCATACTTTCCATACTCATGAAATTCTAATTGAATTAGTTAAATAATTGTGTACAAAGACCACGTCTTTCTTCTTCTAGCCGTTAGTTTGACCCTGCAGTCTTGAATAGGGGCCTAGACACTCAATGTAACTAGGACCTGCAGGGAATGCAAAGAATGCCTGCAAGGAATGGCTACCCAGGCCTGAGTGGTGTGAGTGTGAGTGTGTGTATATGTGTATCCCAACTGTGTAGGTATATAAAGGAAAATGCAAAAATCATTACACATATTTAAAGAATATTACATGAACTTCTAGGGTCTCCATGTCCCTTCTATCTTTCATTCACCTGAATTTAATTGTTACTCAGCTGTTAAATATGTGAGTTAGATGAGAAAAACTTAGTCCAAAGGTCATAGTATCCTGGACAAGTGTGTAACCAGTGTTCCAAATGGGAAATGGGGAATTGAGAGCTGGTTTGATTTACTGTGTTATATTTAGCCTAAAGTTACCTCCTTATATATTGCAAATTTAGCCTAAAGGTTTCTCCATGCATTGTGAACTATAATCGAAGTGGATATGTAAACAGACTGTAACCAACTTTTGTGCCACTCATCAAGCTTTGACCAATCAACAGCAGTCAACTGTTCAAATCTTGTTCAAATAAGGCAAATACGAAACTGTCACCAATCCAGCTGTTTCTGTACCTCACTTCTGTTTCCTGTATGTCACCTTCTTTTTTCCATCTGTAAATCTTCTTCCACCATGCAGCAGCAATGGAGTCTCTGAATGTATTCTGGTTTGGGGTCTGACTGGTTTGCAAATTGTTCTTTACTCAATTAAACTCTGTTCAGTTTAATTTGTTTACTGATTTTCATTTAACAACTGCCTATTCCCAAATTCAGGTGTAGGGACTTTCCTCCCCAACAACCGATTAACAGCCCTTGGCCATACCTTTGCTTTCTTATACTCATTGCTCAAATGGAATATTGTGTTTGTGTAGATGTGTATATGGGCGTTGGAAGGAGGCAGCCTACAAGAAGTCAGATGGAACTCTGAGAGCCTTGGGTACTAACTGCCACAAATTATGGTCATTGTGGTCACCACTTGTCTTGGGTGGCTACTTGGGGCTAAGAAAAAAGCTCGGCCCTGAAGGTCAATGGGAAGGACAGCTGGTGCAGCTTCTGAGTGCAGGCCAGGGAAAGCATTCACCTGCATGAAAACTGGGCCTGCTGTGCGTGGTAAGTCAGCTTCAGTTGGCTGAAAGAATACCTCCTGCATTGCCCTTTTTTGAGTTGTTTCTCATTCTTGTCCTCATGGCCCTCATGCACATAGCCTCCTTCAAGGAGCTAACCAAACCACACATTTATCTTTCCTCTTCTTTTACATTCCTACTGACATTTCTCATTCATCATATGAAATGCATTCATCTCTCCCTCCACATGTTCCTCACCCACCAAGCTCTCCCTCAACTTTAAATCTCAGGTCTGATAATCATACTCCTTTTAACTTGCATATTCTCTTGAAAGCAAAAGCAGGGACTACTAAGCTGTATTCTTCCGTTTTCTTTCTCCTTTTAGCCACCTGTAGGAAAGGAGAAAAACTAACTTGAGCCAACATCTTAAAAATATAACCTTCTCAAACAACATTAAGTATAATTTTTGCCATGGCTCACATTTCTCTTTAGTAATTAGACACTTCTCATTGGTTAAATTACATGATATATGGAAGTGCACAGTGATTTCCAGGAAGCCCAAAGTCCCCACTCCCCTCACTCTCCTCCAAATATTTATGTGATCAGAAAGAAGTATTCATAGTCCTGTTGGAAGCCATCAAAGGCTGGCAGTGCAAAAATAAATTGAAGATCATTACAGATGTCCACACTATAATCCCACTGCAATCCAACCAAGTTCCTCTTATTATGCCCTCATCCAGTGGAATAAAGGGGGTCTGCACCTGAGCCAGCAGCATTCCACAGCCATGAAGGTGGCCCCCAAGAGAAGCATAGTCAATTCCATGCATGCACTTGTGGTGCTAGAAACTGCTTTTTGATGTAGAGAACAGTGATTAATTGCATTGTATCTCCTAAAGCACAAGGAAAAAAAATTAAGTCTAATAAAAGGAAGCAACTTTGGAAGGTACCTTTATAGACAGTTTTTTCATTTTGCAGAAAAGATGGATGACTCTTTGTAAGAAGGTAGATTCAGGCAGAAACCAATCAGAATGATGGACAATTATTTTTCTCAATAATGCCAAGGGAAAGCAGGTACTCATTGGTGACTTCTTTTACTATTTTTCTTCATTTTTTTTCTCTTCCAGCTATCTATCCTTCCTTCTTTTTTTCTGTTTGTGCTTCTTTCTTTTGTTCTATTGTACCCAAATCTCGTCCCCTTTTAGCTTTTATGTTTTCCTCCTCCCCCAATTCTGCTTCTGCCTCTTATTCTGCTGCCAACACTTAGCTAGTCCCATGTCACTGGGATTCAATTCCAGTGGTTACTTGTCAGAGGATGCCTGTACCCATACCCTTGATAACTCACTTCTGTCCATATATACCTCTAACCTTTTAAATCACAGTCCTGGAATCAATGATTTATTCTATGAAATGATTGGAAACCTTTTGGATACCAAAGAATGAAACTATTTCTGGAATATCAAGATGTGTTTTCCAGAGAATGTGACTCATTTTCATCTGTTGTGTCACTACATTACGGAATTTAAAAATACATTTTAGCGCTCTTTTTTTTTATGAGAACAGCAGGGGATCCTCAGGACATGTTCAATGGCGGTCACCTGGAAACACTACATTTTATTAATAGCAGGACTTTGTGATTCTCTATGGATGTTAAATCAGATTCATTTGTCTGTCCCACAGCCAATCAGGTGGCCAATGGACGAGGCAATACTCATTATTTGATTTGCATATCAAATATGCATGAGGACAGGCCGAGAACAGAGTGCACTTCCACCCATCTGGACACATTTCTCAGTGTCTCTCAGCCACTCACAGTCACCAAGCAAACAAGAGTGTGCTCCTAATTTGTGTCCAATGGCTGTTGTGGGGCAGACAGGTTATTGTCATCACCTTCAAAGTCTCATAAACCGAAATGACCCATAGAAAAGAGAGAAACACACAGAAATGGTACAGTAAGTTTAGCTCAGGGATGTGGTAGGAGATGGATGCTAACAGCCTAGTCTGTGTCCAGATATGGAGAGATTTTTCCAGACCCTGCCATTTATCTTTTTTGTAGACAGGGACTATTTTGGTTAGTCTGTTCATTGTAAATTATTAATAAGGACATTTTCAAACAATAGATAAATGAATTTTACATTTTGTAAAAGATAATCTCTTACACTTATATCATTTGTTATACAATTTATTTGATTCTCACAATTTCTGAGTTAAATAGGGAAGCTATTATTGTTCTCATTCCATAAATGAGAAACTGTAATTGATTGATTTTTCCCAGTGCAAAGTTTGATGTGTTAGAGAACCAAACCAAAATCTAGACATTTGGACCCATAAATTCAGTGTTTCTCCATGATGATCATCTTCTTTAGGAAACTGAGGCTACATGCACACATATACCATGAGAATAAGAGTTGGTACAGTGAGATTTAGTTACATTTAAATTATTTAAAATGTTAATATTTAATAACAGAAAGCAAGATAATATACAGGAGTTACTTTAAAACATTTGAGACACCTTGTTCTCTAAAAGCAGAAAAAATATGTAAGCTTTATCTTCCCAAGTTCAATTTTGGCCCATTCACTTGCCAGGAAATTAAAAAGCCTCTATATAAATATGTATAAATATGAATTTTAGATCTTAATAATCAATGTAAACAAAAACTCTACCTAAATACTTCTGAAAGCAGAGATTACTGGCTCTGTTAATTTAGCATCAACTTTACATAAGCTCTTTGGCTGAATTTCAAGTTTTAAACTAACTACATTTTAAAAAATGCCTTGTGATAAATGACATCCAACCATCATGAATGTGATGAAGATTCTTTGTTTTATTTTCCTTCTAAGAACTGTTTTTTTTTTAATTTTTGTGAACTTTCTATACTTTATACATATTAACAGTTTTAAAAGTCAGACTTTGTTTTATAGCCCATAAACAGAAGCATGCTTTTATTTATGTAATTTACTGTTCTTCTCTTTAATTGTTGTTGCATATGTTAATGTTTTGGCTTCAGAAATGAAATATCATGTAGGTAAGCGATTAACTTCCTTCTTTAATTTACCTTCAGTACAGAGAATAATTGAGCAATTTTCATTGAGTAAGGATTATAGATAGAGATAAAGAGAAATGATTTTTCTTTTGGATGTGTAGAAGTTATGGTGTGATTAATAGCATCATAAGCATAATGTAATTTAGTCTGAAGTATTGGACAGGATATGAGCTCTTAAACGATGACCCCAGTGAACTGTATTTTAGAGGTTTATATTGTCACTTCTGCCTGTGGTAAAGATTCAATTGTAAGGCTCACATAGTTTGCTTTATAGTCACTGCTGGTAGACAATTAAAGTAGAATCCATTTATTTTGCATGAATAATGATATCTATCTGAATAAATGAGTGATTACATTTCTGATAGATGAATTTGTGTATTCGCTAAATAAATTCAATCTATGTAGATCAGGCAGTTAAGAAGCCTCTGTTGTATTGAAAAAATCTTTTGGATTTGGATTTGTTTTCTGTTTTAATCTTTCAGAGGTAGAGATGAAATTGAATTTATATTTTCTAATCTGATATTTATATTCCAGAGCCAAATATAAGACTATGTACTCTGGAGCTTATATGATTTTTTTTTTCCAGTGCTTCTAAGCAAATAGCAAAATATACTAAGCAGTGTCATAGGCCTCTTATAACCCAACTGACAATCTAAGAGAAGGGTTGCAGAATTAGTACTCATTTTTTTCCTTTGGAGGGCAATTTCTGACTTTTAGTATCTGACTCAGAAAAGGTTATAAAGTTAAAGAATTACTTTATATTCCAGGCTAACAGTCCATTTTTATGTGGTAGAAGTGTGTGCAAGGAACTGTATATTGGGAACCTAAATTTGATCTGTTATTCTGGAAAGAGCAATGGAATACTAGTAGTCTGGAGACTGAATCCAGCCTGGACTTTATTATGAGGGCTAGAATATTAATTTTTAGGGGGCAAATTCTTCATTCGAAAGGTACTAATTTTCTATATGCTGTCTAACTCAGAGAAGGGTTATGTGCATAAGATTAGCTTATAAATGTGAGAGTTTTTAAAAGATTTTAACATATGCTATTGATATAGGATATATGACTTTATAAATTTGGATCATGGTAAAAATAAGATGGTTTTTCTTACGCTAGTGGCTGAAATAACTGATCTACTATTAACCATTTAACAATTATTAACTGTCTTGTTAGGATGATTCAAATAGGTCAAGATACAGTGACTTCTCTCTAAAAAGGTATAGTATTGTTGAAAGAGATTAGGTTTAAACACCTGCAAAATTACATAACAAAACAAGACAGGGTTAAGTACCAAATGAATGAGTAAATAGATTGAGTTCAGAATAGGATGGCATCATCGTTGCTGGAGTGATCTATGGTAGATCCGGGAGAAAGCAGATTCCTGCTATGAAGAAAAGTGAAGTTAAAATAAGTAAATAGGTAGAGGAATGATCATGAGAGATAAGAAAACGAAATATAGGCGATGAAAGATCAGTAAGTTTGCCTAGATAAAACATTTTATGAATAGAAGATGAATTCATTCTTGATGGGGGAGTCACTATGTGCCTCCCACACTCTTTTCTCTCATATCTATCTAAGATAGCAACAATAAAATAATTAGCTTCCTAATGGAATTCCCCCATAACCACTAGACCCATCCTCCCCATCAGTCTAACTCTCTGCTTTTGTCTGAGAGTCTTGTGGTCTGTCTGCTTAACTGATGAGCAGAAACATTCTCTGATTGAGGAAAGTGAGCAGAGTCCTTGCTCAAATACTATGCAGAGTGGATGAGAAAGAGAGAAGCCATATGTTTCACCAAAACTCCAGTTGATTTAAAAAAAAAAAACAAAAAAAATATATATATATATATATATATATATATATAATTTTACTTTAAGTGCATACTATATCTGTCATTTCTCCTCATGTTATCTCTCCCCACCCTCCCCACTGCACACATATGTTCATTGCAGCCCTGTGTACAATAGCAAAGACTCCAGTTGATTTTATAGCAACTTGGAGCAAT